GTTGATGCACATGGAAAGGGTTCAGTTTCCTTTCAGACTACACAAGGTACAAAGTTTATACATGATGTGTTGTATGTTCCTTCTTTAGCATGTAACTTGTTAAGTGTGGCTCAAATGATGTCTAAAGGCTATTCCTTATTTTTTAAGGACAAACATTGTTTGATTTTTGACTCCGAAGATAGTTTGATTGTTAAAGTAAGAATGGTGGATAAAACTTTTCCTTTAGATGGGAGGTTTGATAGTGCAAATTTTGCAAGTAAGGATGAGTCATGGTTGTGGCACAAAAGATATGGTCATTTTAACTATGCTACTTTAAAGTCTATGTATGAAAAGGCCTTGACTAAGGATTTACTTGAGATTTCACTGTCTAAAGAAGTTTGTGAGTCATGTCAGATGGGTAAGGTACACAGAAAATCATTTCATAAAAGTGCTACTTGGAAGGCAACTGGAAAACTTGAACTAGTTCACATTGTTGTGTGTGGACCTATGCAGACATCATCTTTGGGACACAATAAATATTTTGTGCTCTTTATTGATGACTTAACAAGGATGACTTGGGTGTATTTTCTGAGTAACAAGTCTCAAGTATTTTCAGTTTTCAAGAAATTTAGAGCTTTTGCGGAAAAACAAAGTGGTTGTAAGCTAAAGGCTTTGAGGTCGGACAATGGTGGCGAATACACTTCAAATGAGTTCAATAAGTATTGTGAAGATATGTGGATTGATCACAAACTGACAGTAAGCTATTTGCCCCAACAAAATGGAGTCTCGGAGAGGAAGAACAGAACAGTAGTTGAAATGGCAAGATGTTTGTTGCTGGAGAAGAAACTGCCACAAGGCTTTTGGGCAGAAGCTAGTTATACACAAGTGTATTTGTTAAATAGGCTGCCAACAAAAGCTGTGGATGAAAAGACTCCTATTGAGGCATGGAGTGGAATACAACGATCTGCCAAGCATCTAAAAGTTTTTGGTTCGATATGTTATTCTCATGTTCCTTCTGTCAAAAGAAGCAAACTTGAACCAAAAGGTGAATTGGGGATCTTTATTGGTTATTCATCACAAGCCAAGGGTTATAGAGTTTTCAACTTGCAAACAAAAAGTATTTCAATTCGAAGAGATGTAGTCGTGGATGAACATGCTTATTGGAACTGGGATAAGGAGCAAATTGAGAAAGATAATGCAGTTTTTCAGAACTTGAGTCCGTTGCCTGAAATCAAATCATTTGGGTCTGAAACTCTGGAAGAAAACGAAGAATCAGACGGGGAATCCTCACTTGATCCGCCAATTTTGAAGACAACGTCTCTTTCTGAGATATATGAAAGACGTAATGTTGCAATCTCGGAACCAATTAGCTATCAGGAAGCATCAAGACATGAAGTTTGGATTGAAGCCATGAAAGAGGAGATTGGTATGATATAAAAGAATGATACTTGGAAGTTGGTTGATAAACCCAAAAACAGAAATGTGATCGGGGTGAAGTGGGTTTATAGAACCAAACTTAATCCAGATAGCTCAGTTTATAAATACAAAGCAAGGCTTGTTGTGAAAGGTTACGCGCAAGTTGCAGGTCTGGATTATGGGGACACGTTTGCACCTGTTGCACGACATGATATAATAAGGCTGCTATTTGCTTTGGCAGCTCAATCAAATTGGAAGTTGTATCATTTGGATGTGAAATCTGCATTCTTAGATGGACTGTTGCAGGCGGAGATATATGTTGATCAACTAGAGGGCTTTCAAGTTGCAAGAATGGAGGATAAAGTCTACCGACTTCATAAGGCATTGTATGGATTAAAGCAGGCTCCTCGAGCATGGTACAGTAAGATTGATGATCATCTCATTCATTGTGGCTTCAAGAGAAGTGAAAATGAAGCCACTTTTATATGTGAAGAAGGCTAAAGGAGGAGATGTGTTTGTGGTGTCACTCTATGTTGATGATCTTCTGGTAACAGGAAGCAATAAAGCAATGGTGAATCAGTTCATGCAAGAAATGGAGACCAAGTTTGAAATGTCAGATTTGGGTGAAATGATTTACTTTCTGGGAATGGAGATTCATCAAGCTACTGTTGGAACCTTTATTTCTCAGAGAAAATATGCATGGGATATTCTTAAAAGGTTCAAGATGGAGAGATGCAAGTCTGTACCGACTCTACTGGTTCACAATGAAAAGATTTCGAAGTTTGAAGGAGGTGACAGGGCTGATCCAACAGTTTATAGAAGTCTGATTGGTAGTTTGCTATATTTAACAGCAACAAGACCCGATCTCATGTTCGCGGCAAGTCTACTGTCTAGGTTTATGCAAGCTCCAAGTCAAGTTCATCTTGGTGTTGCTAAACGAACGTTAAGATATATCAAAGGAACTGCTGATTATGGTATTTGGTTTAAAAGGGAAGACCAAAGGCAACTGATGGGTTATTTAGATAGTGATTGGGCAGGAAGCGTTGATGATATGAAAAACACTTCTGGATATGCATTTACACTTGGTTCATGCATGTTCTCATGGAATTCAAAGAAGTAAGAGGTGATATCTCAATTTTCTGCAGAAACAGAATACATCGCCGCTGCTGGTGCAACTAATTAGGCTCTATGGTTAAGAAAGATTCTACGTGATCTGGAGCAAAATGACATTGAAGCTACTGTCATTAAGGTTGACAACAAGTCAGCAATATCTATGGCCAAAAATCCAGTGCAACATGGTCGTAGCAAGCATATAAATGTGAAGTTTCACGCTATCAAGCAAGCAGAGAAGGATGGCGAAGTTAAACTTGTTCATTGCAGCTCAGATCAGCAGATTGCAGACATCATGACCAAGGCTCTTCCTAAGGGGAAATTTGAAGTTCTAAGGGCTAAGTTGGGAGTATCCAAGAAAAATCTCAAGGAAGAGTGTAAGAAAATGAGATATTTCTAGATGGTTTTTTGTTTAATTGTTTCTTTTTTAATATTATGTTAAGTATGTAAAGGAAAGGTAGTCCTTGTTTTATGGAATATGTTTTGTAAGAAAGTCAATAGTGTTGGATATGTATGGTCCTCTACTAACTTTGGAAAAGCTTATGTAGATATATGTGTATGCCTTTTAAAAGCTGTAAATGAATGAAAATTTCCTCTGCTGAACCTTATCTTTTATTTTCTCTAAAAGTTTCAAATCCTAACAAATTTAAGAGGTATACCAGCCTGGAACCTCAATGCTCTAGCCATATCAAGAATGGATCTATGTTTCCTCTCAGCTACTCCATTTTGTTGAGGAGAATAGACACAGGAACTTTGATGAATAATACCATTTGCTTTGAACAAATCATCTACTTGAGAGTTAAAGAACTCAGTTCCATTGTCTGTTCTCACACACTTGACAGCCAAACCAAATTGAGTTTTAACTATGCATAGAAAATGTTGTAACACAATAATAGTATCTGATTTGGTATGCATTAAAAAGATCCAGGTATATCTTGACATATCATCCACCAATGTTAAGAAATATCTTTTCCCATCATGATTAGGAACTCTGTAAGGTCCCCAGACATCACCATGTACAATATCAAAAGCAAAGATAGAAGTAGAAACACTAGTAGGAAATGGTAACCTTGACTGTTTAGCAATTGGACATATAGAACAGATATGCTCAGACATAGGAGCAGTACATGTTCATTGAAATAAAACCCACATAGCATAGTAATAACTGAAACCCGCAGTCAAGCCTAAATAGTCTCAATTATTATGATACAATTTTTTTCATATTCCTTATTGAAAGCCACTAAAGGTAGTTACTTATTTCACATCATCATTATATATCTTTTAATGTAGAAATTGATATATGGAGTAAATGGATGCAGTTGTGGCTGCTTGGGTTACAGTAACTGAAGGCAAAAGGTATTGCTGATGTTTTGGTGACTATGGATTAACTATTTAACTCGTGCGTGCTTGTTTCAAGAGAGTGATAACTTCTCCTTTGTTCCCTTTCGGGTTCGGTCTCACAACTCAGTCAGTGAAAGGAGAAAAACATGATTCAAATGAAGGAATTTTTGTTCAAGAAAAGCTTCATAATATATGATTTTGAGAATTCTTGGTAGACTAGCAAGCAAAGATGAAAAAAATAAATGAGTAAAATTATCATAAAAGCAAGTATCTGGTTATTTTCTTTAAATACATTGCTTGAGTTCATATAAAATAATATTGCTATCAATATGTTTCTTTTGAAAAAAAAGTAATAATATTTGTTATATTTATTGTATTATTATGTTTTCGTTTGACTTGAAAATCAAGGCTCTTGAATATTACTAAATGAAAAGTCTACAATAAATTATAACATCATATATTTTCGACGTCTTTTAGTCTTTTTCACGTCATGTAGCGTTATTTATAGAATATTTTCAAAAAGTTTGAAGATATAGCATCTCTATCAGAAACTTGGAATGAAGTGGAGAAGTTTTGTATGGAAAAGACTATTAATTAATTAAATATTCTCTATTTGTTAGACGGTGAATGGTGATGGTATATATGTGGTAATTTTTTTAATAAGAAATATATAAGTTCTAAATCGCAAAATTGAAGAGTATTTTCCCTTTTATATGTAGCATTCTTACCATGGTGAATTGTGTTATTCGCGGGTTTGGTAGAACCTAGAGTTTCAAAGTCGAATTACACTAATCGCCAAGAAGTAAGGGAGGAGGAAGTAAGTTGTTTACAAAGCTTTGTTTCCCAACCCCACCCTATAGTTGTAATACTCAAACTTGTTGCTACTTGATTCAAAATGTAACCATTGGTCCCTCACTTTCTCTGTTTCCGCAATCATAACCACTTGTCATTTCGATTACTTCATCCATAGTGACTTGAATCAGACAAACATTTCATAACTCCAACTTCTGCTTAGGACCCCACTACGTTTAAATTCTGAATCCGCTATTGCTTAGATAAAAAGTTAAGACGGACTAGATTTGGGTGAGGGAAGAGTACAGTGCAAGGAAAAAACAATTAATTGTAAATGTTGGCATTACTGCAACCACCAAAACATAAGACTTATACAAAGATCCTCATTCCACAAATAAGAACAAGGGGAATACATAGTGATACTGCGAAGAATTGTAGTGATATCTAAGACTGCAAAAAGTTTCCTATTCATATAGGGTGGCAAGGTGCAGTGATTGTCAACATGAAACTGCAAACGCGTTAGCTACAACCAAGAAACTAGCAGTACTTATTCGATGTATTGTCAAGCGCAGACAATGTCAACCAGCCCAGGTATGAGATCAGCACCTCAAGCAATGTACTTGTATGTGTTCGTGTTCTCCAGGTCTCTTTCCAAGTAGTCTCGAGTGATAAGATCTTCGATCCTCTTTTTGATTGCTTTGACATCAGGCTACATAGGTAACAATTCAAGAATCAGACTGAGATAAAGCTAGTAAATGTAATGTCCAATGTGGAGGTACTTATTTCAAATTTGGATTTTGGGGCATTACCAAACGAAGCTACAACAACATAAGTGGGGTCTGGAAAAGGTAGGATGTAAGCAGACCTTATCTCTACCTTTGTGGGGGCAGAGAGGTTGTTTCTGATAGACCCCCCCGGCTCAGAAAAAGCAGGAAAGTAAAAGAAAGAAAACGAGACAACAAAATAACAATGTACAAAACAATTGTAGCAACAGATATTAATACAGATTAGAGAAAAAGTAACTATGCAATACCTATATTATACTACTAGAAGTACGAGAATACTCGACAACCTACTATGTTTAGATATCCAAAGTGGTTGAAAAATTGTGGTTACCTTGAACATTTTGCTCAACTGCTCAACACACTCCAAAATTAGCTGTTGATGAGTTAGAACTTTCTTGGCTTTCATTATACGCACCAGACAGGCATCAATTGCATAACGTCTATCCTTGCCGACTTCCTCAACCATTTTCTTCCTATCGTCAACAGGAGGCAAAGGGACCTGAAAGGTACAAACAAGTCGTGTTGCTAAAGTAAAAGTTCCCAAGTATACCTTCATAAAAAAAACATCATTGTGGAGTAACGTGTGAAGTTCTCAAGTATCTATACCCGAATCCTCCTCATTTTGTCAGTGAACTGGGAGTTGAACTCAAAATGATCAGTTGATGAAACAGTTCTACCGCTAGGCTCCTTGTTAAGAATTTTGTACTTGGCACATGACACAGATGCCAGCACTCTGACCAAGTCATCATCAGCCAAATTTAACTCAGTCTTGATGTCAGAGTAACTCCATTTATCAGAAGCATTAAACAGTAATAGTGCAGCAGCCTGAAAAGAGGAAAAAATGTTAATCCAACAGCATATTTGCAATAGAAATACTTGACAAATCGATCACCTGGTAAGTTCCCAGAATCAATTCAATAGTTTTCTGTTCAAACTTTCCGTTAAGGTTACATTGTCCCAATGAGAATATCCATGTTAATTTCCTGTGTTTCGTTTTTTTCTGATAGAATTCCTTGAAGGACTCCACACCCTTTGCCTGAGACAAATGAATGACAAAACCAAAGAGCTCAGAAAAAATAAGAACAACATAACAAAGTGGGATCTTGAGAGGGTAGTGTATGTTGACCTTATCCCTGCCTCAGAGATAAAGAGGTTGTTTCCGATAGACCCTTGGATCAAGAAAAAACAGTCCAAAAAGAAGTAATGGAAGTGAAAGCATAACAAAGCATTTTGGGTCGTAACTACATCTAAACAATACGATAATTGAAGTACAAGAAACAATATATAGTAACAGATATTGAAGGACAAGAAACCACAGGAGGGATACTACGACTACTAGTATGGATGGATAGCAAGAGAAGCACATCTTACCATTTCCACAGGGAGATTCAGATCACACGATTTATAACTAGGCCAGAATCCAGTTGTAAGAACAGTGACAGTCATATCGATTCCAGGATTTGTTGCAGGGTTGTTGCTGATATATTCCTGAAAGTGGGTCTGATTTTCTTTCACCAATGACAAATCTGTCACCTGTTTTGCATTTCCAACCAACCGTTTTTTAGATATCTCAAAGGACGAGAAGAGACAAAAACTTTAGAAGTCCATTAAACTATCCTAACCATTCCCTCCATCTTGGATGTAAACTGTCCACCACACTGCTGCTTTAGCTTTGATAAGATAAGCCTTTCATGTTCTTCATTGGCACTTCTATCAAAAAGCAATCGGCGAGAAAGCTTCTTCCTATCATTCATTAAGACAATTAGCATACCAAATGGTTAAACATGTAACAATCAACTCAAATGATTTTGTTAAAAGAACTGCTGGCAGTAGATTCAAACCTGTAGAACTCAGCAAACACATCTTTGTCGCTGATGTACGTAACAAGCTTGACCACCTACACAAAAAGTAAACCATTTTGACGGTGTTAGAGCAAGAATATGAAGTTTTGACCACCAAAATGAAGAGGGATGTAAATTTTGTGCATACCTTATCCAATGTATCCTCAATAACATCGTCACTGAGTTGTTCACTCCCACCTTTCTTAAGGGTATTATCACAATAAGAAGCAAGGAGCTCCGCAGTTGAAGAGCCGGCAACACTTTTGTTACAGAAGACCTCAAATGCCTCTTTCAGAGCCTATGAAAGTCAAGAGTTTATACATCAGCGAGTAGGGGAATGAGTGAAGACGATGCTTGAGTTCTTCTATATTCACACTTTTCCTTGTAAGAGTCACATTTATCCTTGTGGAGCTCATATGTATACTTTACCATATCACATCTAACAATTTTCTTTACATGGTATCAGAGTTAGGTACATCCCAATTTATGATTTATGATGTTGGACCCCCCATATTAAATTGTCCACGCTCCAGATGCCCATTCCTAGGCGTGAGGTCGGGTGTTAAGTCCCACATCGGTGGGATGAGAAGAATTTTAACTCCTTACATGCACTTAGACAATCCTCCACCTCAAGAGTTAGATTCAAGATCCATTTCTTTACAATAACATCTCAAGTAATACATCATAAGATCAACACACAATGGTTAACAACTGGAATACCTTGTGAAAGATAGAGTTATCAGCAAAACAGCCTTTCACATACACCATATACTTGTCATGCAGATCAAATGCCTTCTTGACAAAGTCCTGAGGGAAGAGATGGGTCCATCATTGAACCAACTAACAATTACATAAAATGGACCTCTATTCACAATATAGCAGATAGTATTTTACCTGCTCCTGTGAACCACCCGAGCTTTCGGTCTGTAGAAGAACATACATATCATCATTTACAAATTACAACACCAATAAACTACAATGCAAAACAAAATTACTTGGAAACCATAAGCATAGCCAGTCGCAAAACCAACTTCAGATATATGTTACTTATTTTGCAAAAGCTTTTTACTCCACTCAGATTCTAGTTTCTTGGGAACTTTGAAAGTTTTCTAAGATTGGGATGCTGATACATATCTACCTTGTCCTTGTCTTGTTACAGTTTATACAAAAACATCTCTCATAGTGTTCAAATGAGGCATTATTTTTTTCCTGAAGCTTAAAAAACTTTATCGAAGAAGAGGAGCTAATGGAAGCTAATCGTAAAGTCAACATACAACATTGTCAAGTAAAGCACAAGTTTTGGTTATTGGATATCAAACCTTGTTATTTGCTACATCTGCAGCCTGTTGCACTACGACCATGCCTTCAGCAGCTACGTGCTGCAAATATGTACCATCAGAAATTGCACGGTCCCAAATCGGAACAAAAAGAAGAAAAGCAAAATCTTGAAGTGGTGGTTGCTCATCATATGGTATGGATGATTAAACTACCTGCTTAAAAATCTCTGCTACTAGTTCTATCCCTTTAGGAATTTTGTGGAATAGATTATACATTCGAGTCAAATCCTCAACCTGTGATGGGAGAAAGGAGGAATAAGAAAAAGCAAAACTGCCTCAAATACAATGTAAGATCCATAAAAACAATTAAGCACATAATGTTCTACAGAAAAAAAGTAAAGAAAAAGGGGGTGGGGGTTTAATACCTTCTCATCTTTAAGCAAAGCTCGGCATCCAGAATCCTCCTTCTCAAGCAACTGATTGGTATATGTAATCAATACCTGATTTTGCATTTTCTGCAGCAAAAATGTTGGTCTCAGCTTTGAAAAAAATAAATCCAACCAAAGAAATATAATCAACTGACTCTTTCTGAGTAAAAACTAAAACATTATATTTGTGCGTTTGGTTCAAGAAAGATAAGGTTCCATAAGTAATAGAACAGTTAATACTTGACAAAGAGGTACAACTTCTCGAAACACTAGACACATCCGCTCTTCCCTCTCCCAACAGTAAAGAACATTCTTTTTTTTTTTTATAACCGTGGTTGTCCGGGAATAAAGAACATTCAAAAAAGAAGGTTCTGTAAAACAAAATCCTTACCTGTTACCAAGGGGAAACATATACAATCAAGTACACAACATCAATAACCTGACAAAACTCCACAAAAGTAACCCCTTCATTCTTCCCTTCTTTAGGTTCTAGAGAACATAGAAATTTTATCAAGCATCAGTTATAGTACCAGTGCACAGTCTTGCTGTCCGTTCATATTATTAGTCGTACTATTGCTCCTATAGTTTCTTATCCTTCAATCTTGTTACTATATGTTGTTCATATTGTTTCGTTATAGTTTTTATTTTGTTACTATCTGTTGTTTTTGTTGTTATCTGTTATTTCTTGTACTCCTGTTACTTCTTTTTCTAGGACTACTTTGGACTGTTTTTCCTTGAGCTGAGGGTCTATCGGAAACAGCCTCTCTCTGAGTTAGGGGTAAGGTCTGCGTCCACTCTACCCTCCCCAGACCCCACTTTGTGAGACTACTTTGGGTATGTTGTTGTTGTTATAGTACAAGATATAACAGTGTATCTTCGTAACACATTCATTTGTAAATGAGAACCTTTTCAGGCTTTATGTGTATCTATATGTCATAATGTATGGCGAGATGGAAGATGCTACTAGCTATCGCATGACATAACACAGATATAATTGTGAAACTCCAAAACTGACCTCAAGAAGTTTTGTCTCAGTGCTAGAGTGCAGATAATGAGACACTCTATCCTTCTCCTTTTGCAAGCACTCCTCTGCCTGTGTCAGCAAAGAACGGGCGTTAGAACCTATTCTAGTATAAAAATGGAATACAAGAGCAATTCTCGAGGTGAAAGAGTTGTGAAAATCATTTCTACCTTTAGCATATACTCTGGACAAGAATCTTCAACAATCCAGGTTGAAGCTTTTCGAGAATAATGACAGGCAGAATCTCGAAGCATTGCCTCTTCAAAGTCATTAACGTAATAATCCATCCTTCCCTTTCCCATATCAATATACAAATCTATCACATTCTTCAGTAATACTCTGTCGATTTTCTCACCCTCACGTTCCTGATCAATCTGATACAAAACGATACTTCAATAAGCCTCATATCTAGCAGATAGAATCCGAACACATTGAGTCTAACAGAAAAAAAAAATGAAAAAAGAAACACTTACCAGTGCTATGACAGCATCTGTAACTCTACCTTTCACATCATGATAAACCTATTATCAACAAACACAACGATATAAAGAGACTTTATCATAATAGTAACTCAGAGAAGACAAATACAGTAAAGAAAAATTAAACAGCAGAATAATCATTCCAAAAGCTAACCAGATCTCGGAAGCAACTCAAACCAACTTCATTAAGTGCAGGGACTTCAGCTCGTTTGATAAAAAACTTGTCAAGATAACGGAAAAACTTTAAAAGCCATTTGACCATAAGTTTATGAGATGCCCATCTTTTCTCAAGCTCCTTCAACAAGAATTCATCATGCTTCTTATTCAGAGAAGGCAAAACCTAATGGAGCAAATGGAGACTGGTTACTATTTCGAACAGCATCACAAAACAATGAGATTGAGATAGCGAAATGTTCTTACAATAGTAATGATGTAATCTTCAACTGCTTCTTTGTACTTATCGTACAGTTGCTCAGAGTAATCATGAGGTGCTTTCTGAGTACACATGTTATAGATAGTGCTATGCTTCAAATTAAGGAGAAACATGTTCGACAAATAGAAGTGATAATCGAAAAGGACTAACTAAGAAAGAAAACATGCAGTCTAAGCTCAAGGAATGCCAAGGATACGTGTAGAGCATCACGTACTCGTCTGAGGTGAATGACTCCGGCTCTCCTTCTATGATTATCTTTAACTTATTAAGTCCCTTTTGAACACACTCCATTCCTTCCTCCAACTCGATAGTCTTCTCCTCCGTCTCCTCCATCTTGGAAAATTCTTGTTAATACGATCTAATATAACAATTAGAAACCACAAATAAAAAGACATTTCATACTAAAAGAAATGCATCAAGTCTGGCTGATTAATGTTATATAGTAGTTGTAGGAACATGCAAAAAGCTATTACAATGATCAAATTACAAATACATATTGATATAAAACATCTAAACAACAACAACAACAAAAAAACAGTTTTTAGAACATCAATTCAATTTTAAATCCTAGATCCGCCTCTGTTATTCGAGTAAATGTTAAACCAAAACAAGTTCAATTTCGACTCAAACCAATATAAATATCACAAACATTTCAACAACAATTAGATTCTGAACTCGTAATTTCAAAAGTAGAGTGAGTTTAGTTCTAATAAAAACTTCAAATCCTAAATCCGCTTATGATATTCAAGTAGTTTTTAAAGCAAAACGAGTTCACTTTCGACATCAGACCATATATATAAAAATAATGACTGAAATTTTCAACAAATATCAGATCCCAAACTCATATAATTGCAGAAGTACAGTAAGTTCAATTCTAATAAAAACTTCAAATCCTAAATTCGCCTCTGTTATTCGAGTAATTGTTAAACCAAAACGAATTCAACCAAACCCAGTAGTACTTTCGACTCAGACCATTTATATAAAATATAACATTAGCATTTCAATAAAATAATAGATTCTGAACTCGTAATTTCAAAAGTAGAGTGAATTCAGTTCTAATAAAAACTTCATATCCTAGATCCGCCTATGATATTCAGCTAATTGTTAAAGCAAAATGATGACTGTATATAAAAATAATCACTAAACTTTCAACAAATATGAGATTCTGATCTCGTAATTTCAAAAGAACAGTGAGTTCAATTCTAATAAAAACTTCAAATTGTAGATCCGCTTGTCGTAACTGTTTATAAAAGAAGCAGCAAAATGAGTTCAATTAGAGAGCGAAAATCGTACTGGACCGAATGCTAACTTGAGCAAATGTGAATGGATTTTTTCAAACTTACGAAAAATGGTGATCGATTGAAGAAAGCAAATGGAGATAAATAAAACATGAATGCGTGGAATTCGGTTGTATTTTGGTTGAAATTGTAAGAAAAAAGCCTAAAAATCGCATCGTCAAAAAGTAGCAACATGAAGACCCAAAAATGGCGCTACAAGATGTGGAATTCCTTCTATTTCTTTTCTTGTCAATTTTTATTTAAACTTCACATACTAACCAACTTAACTGTAATGCTTATTTTCCTTTCAAGGGAAAATGACAAATATACCCTTCAACTTCGCTTGGGATTTAATTTTAAACACAGTTAATATTACTAATCTATTTATATTTTTCAAAAATTTTATAGTAGTTGTTAAAACATTGATGTAATGTCTTCACTATCATAAATTTCTTTTAACTATATTATAGTTTGTTTTAATGAGAATATAGTGAGAAAAATGGTCTGGTAAAAAATACCTCTGAACTAAACACAAACGTTCTACATGGCAAATTGTGTGAGATACGTGTCTACATTCTCTTTATGATAGTTTAAGTGCTTACTTGTACACATTACACGTTAAATATTATGCCCAACTTTAAAATCACCACGGCCAAAATTGTAAATGCTCCTTCAGATTAACTAGAAATCAAAAAACACTGAATATAATTTCAAACAGGAAAGGTTTATCAATGTTTGAACAAAGCAAATGAAGGCTTTTAAATTATGGCAATATCAAAAGCAGCAAAATTAGCTACAGTATAGCACCAGAACCTAATGCAAGGTAAATAATTAAAACAAGTTACAATGAGGGTGAACAATTCGCAAACAATGTAGACAATATCATATCACAAATTGTGATTAAAAGCAGAAAAAAACTACTTCACAGTAAGGCGAAATTCGATTTCTTTCATCATTGGAACTGTTTACGAGTTTGAGCTGGAAGGCCACTACCTTGCTCACTGCTGGCAGCAAAATCAATTCGGTCTATAAATACTTTGATAACCTCCCACCAGCATAGATACCAGGTAACTTTGTCCACTGCTCTCATTTTTTCTTATCTACTCTCTTGTCGTTCCTCCCTCTCTTTCTAAACTCTCGATTTTCAGAAGGGTACTGCTTCTTGATTAATAGATTACACATAGCTCTTTTCACTGCTTCTGCAGCTGCGGATAGTGCATCTTTCTCAATGAACGAACTCCCCTGCAACGTTTGAAGGAGCTGTTCACTACCTGGTAAATCTTTATCTTCTAAGACACGTGCCTCCTGCTCAACAGAGTCCTGGTTGCTCTCGCAGAAACCATTGAGAACCTTCACACGAGCCAAAGGTGCTGAATCAGAAGTACATAGACTTGATGCACCCATGACCATCCACAATTGATTTGATGAAGAGGCAGCTGCTAAGCTTGTGGGAATAAAAGTCTCCCCAGGAATTGGAACCACCTGGAATTTACATCCAAGGGAAAAGGTTAAACAAATACAAAAAAAATGGGTAGCCCAGTGCACTAAAGCTCCCGTGATGTGCGGGGTTCAGGGAAGGGCAAGACCACAAGGGTCTACGCAGCCTTACCCTGCATTTCTGCAAGAGGCTGTTCCCACGGCTTGAACCCGTGGCCTAAGTCACATGACAACAACTTCACCAGTTATTCCAAGGCTTCCCTTCCTTCAGAATTAAATAGATTTTTGTGATTCAGAGATGGTGGTAAAGGAACCTACTCTTGCAACATGGAGAGATTTAGCTGAAAGGTTGCAACTCAAAAGCATGACGCCTGCTAAGCTACAGTGCAACGGAGAAAGGTATTATGATTCAAGAACAAATTAATAGAGCTCTTTAAAGGATGAAAAGGTAACATGTTGGCATAACGAGAGACTTACCTCTGAAGAGCCACCGCGATTAGTGATCCACCAGGAGTGGCACAGAGATCAGTGACAGCCAGCAACCTGTCATCTATTCCTTCTTTTGACTGTAATAGTCCTGTCTTCACAATTGCAGAGAAAATTAAGAACTAAGCTAAACATGAAAGCTTTAATGCAGTTCTTGTTTCAACACAAGAAACGTAGAGGAAAAAAGGAAATGGAACAAAGAAAGATCGATCGCTTCACGCCCTATTTCACAATCACCACATGCTTATGGATTGAAAATCAGCCAAATCAAATCACTAAAGATTTATTTTCTAGCAAGAGATTCAATCAGCCAATTGGTTATTGTGATGGAGAGAGAAAACCAAATTAAATCTATCAAGTATCTCACTCCAAAAGAGATGAAGCTACCTCTCCAACATGACAGGTATCGAGAAGAGAACCACAAGTGAAGTCCCACAAGCGTACCTGGAAAAAAGAAAAAAAAAAAAGAGCAACGGTTGCATGATATTATAACTCCTTATAGAATATGCCTCAAAGTAGATAAAAAAATGAAAATGAAATAAAATGCTCATATAATTCTTAAGTAATTAATTTCATTTAACTAGACACTTAAAAAAAGTATTTGTCGTTTACGTTGCCAATTTTGTTTAGTATCGAACTCAAGGGTGTGGCCTAGGAGTCACTGGTCAATGAAGTTGGAGGAGAATCATGAAAACTCAGGTTTAAATTTCAGCAGACACACACAAAAAAAAAAGAAAAAAAAAAGGGTGATTTCCTCCCATCTGCCAAAGCTTTGGTGGGCAGTTACACAATTGAATAATCGAGGTGCATGCAAGTTGGCCGAATACCATCATAAAAAAGATCGATTTTAGTTTCTTAGTTGCTAGGTCACCGGCTAGTGTTAAATAGAGAGGATCAATAGCCAAATGCAGAGGATGACATTTGTTATCTTTTCCAAATTGAGCCTTAAAAGGCGCAAAAAGGTGATTTGAGTTAAAAAAAATTTAGCTCATTTTAAAAATTTACTCACAGTTGAATCACCACCTCCCGAAAGCAAATACCACTGCTGGGAATCCTGGCTGCAGATGAAGGCAAGGCAGGAAACAAACCTGACAATTGAGACATAATAAATGAGCCATGACCATGATACCAGTAAGCATTGTCAAAACTAGAATTTCTTCCTGTGGAAATGCATGCCGAAGTTCAAAACTCAACAAAATATTTTCATCTATCTTTTATTTTCTTCTTCTTTTTTTTTTGGGGGGG